TGAACAAATTATAAATTAAAATTTGTTCATTATTTACGATAATATAATCGACAAAATATTATGCTAAATTAAGGATGTTTGTTAACTTACAACTTTGGTGACAGAAGTCATTCTGGTTGGTTTTTTTTGGCAAAAATAAAAAATAAATGAGACTCGTACAAAACTAAGTTACGTGCATCTTTTCGACGTGCGTTCTGTAAGTAGTTTAACGACAAAAGAAATGTTTCGTAGCACTAAACAGCAACAACCATGTTGACTACACTTCGTGCTCTGAGCGAAATGTGCGAGGGGTCGTGAACAAAACTATAAACAAAAGAGTGTTATGTATGTGTCAACATCAGCTGGTGAGTACTGTGCGTTATACTGGTACGCAATCAACGTGGTGTTGTTGCTGTACTGTTGTGCGCGATTTTTCAAGGATGCCAAGTGCAAAAAAATAGGCAGTTTATATCATAAATATACACAACGCGCATGTCTGGGCCTTTGTGCCTTATTATCGACAAAGGATGCGAGAGAAACCGATTGTACAAACAAAAAAAACATCATCCAATCCACAATAAAGAGGTAAACGTACTATAATATATAAAATAGGACGTTCCTAATAACGTAAAAAAACTTTTAAAGGTAAATAACCATGGCGTTCCAAATAAGCTCTCATTTGTATCTCTTATCAAATTTTTATGTACATATCTTTTTAACGATCTAAATTACATTTTTATTTACTATTTCTAATGGAACGCCAAATATTTGTCCATTTTTCACTTTCGTTATTAATGCTTTCTATAAATAGCTGCTAATATAGCAATGCGCATATGTATTTTGAAAAATATACTGAGTGCTCTAAAATGTACACTAATTATTATAAAAATCTTTATTAGTAAATATTATTTCTTTGTCGGTTGCTTATTATAATAATTTAAACAGTCGTTACGATTTTGGTTAGGAAAGAAGCTGTAAATCTAATAAATCAGTAACGCGTAAAACAATTTTTGTCATTTTAATGTTTCCTGCTTTAAAGTAATTTTAGAACTTTAGTAAGATGATAAATTATAGTAAATTAAATTAGTCTTCATTAAAAGTAATTGTTTCGTTGCATTTTATACATTTAAAATGCTGATTCTAAGTTATAAACAGTTATAGGCGCGAAGTAAACCAAAATGGCGATCAAATTTAAATTTTACATCATGGCCGCCAACTTGTGATCTATGGAAATAACTATCAAATGCTATGGAATCAAGAACTTTGACGTTTGTTAACCTAACCTTGTATATTTTTTAAAAAACGAGAGGAATATGTCTTCAATATTAATAAATTTACCGGAATTTTATAAATCTTACAAAGTATGGATTAGTAAAAATCCACAGTACACAAGTGAACTAGAATCTACAGTGAAATGGGTTACGTTTTTCCTCGCTGGTATGTCTTATTGTGGCAATGTGTGATTTTAATGATTTATAATATTTATTGCAGGTAGAATTAACAATTCTCACGTTTTAACACAACTTGTATATTCCCTTTCTAATCTTCTAACATTTTTCAATGATCGTACGATCAGTAAAGAATTGAATTTAGAAAATCCTGGGCCAGGATATATTTTGAAAGTTTGGTTAACAGTCCTTGATTATTCTGAAGTTTTGCTTGAATTGTCCTCAAAGAAATTATGGAACAATGCTGGAAGGTGGATTATTATTGTGTGTATTCAAGTATTGAAGTGAGTAATGAGTCAACAAAACTAGATATATTAAATTTAATATTGTCTACTTCCTGCAGATGTATTTTGAGATTCTTTCTCATGTACCATTACAAGGAAAAAGTGTTGGAAAATCCACCCATTCCTGCTCTTCAAAGAAAAAACTGTAAGCCAGGTTTTACACTTGGTTTAAGTTCAGATGAAAGTGAAGAGCATATAGGATCATTTTCTTTTACACTTAAACACTCTGGAAGATTAATAAGAAAAGTAGACTCATCACCTCCAGTTGCATTCAGAAATTGGAAGCCTATTCAAAGGATTGAGTGTGAAAACAATGAAGTCATGGATGATGTTTTGGCTCAAAGGCAGACAGTCGCAGAGTTTCTATATGTTATAAAGCCTCTTGTTCATCTAGGATCGTTGTCATACTTTGGAAGAACTGCATGGACACCTTGGAGCTTGTCATTGTTTATGGACGTTATAAGGTAAGTGCAAAAAATATACTTTGTCACTGAAAAGTTTGTCGAGTTCTTATACAGCAATTAAGAATTTAATTTGCTTTTCAGTTTACATCTTCACAGATCTTGTATTGCTACAAATAGCAAGTGTATGACAAAGCAGCAGCGTTTGCAAATATCTAGGCGTACTTTAGCTCTTCTATATTACTTGTTTAGGTCCCCATTTTATGATCGGTATACAAAAAATAAAATGGAAGGTTTATTAAACACATTGGGTAATAATTTGCCAATAGTAGGGACTGTTTTTAAAGACCTTGTCCTCTATTTACCATTTTGGCAAAATACTTACTTTTACATGTGGTCATCATAAAATATTTATTTAACAATATTAATGTGTTAAAGATACTCGTCTGTGATGTATCAAGTTTTTTATAAATCGAAATTAGCGCAATAACGGTGCTGGTACATGGGTATTCGTANGTACTAACTTTTTACTAAAATTTAGAAGTGATGTTATTTGAAATAACTTTTTTTATGTTTAAGTTAATTTTTCTCACACATCTTTCACATTGACAGTACTAAAGCAGTCTATGTAAAGGGGAGGGGGGGAATTCCCTAATTTATGTCTGGATCCGCATCCGCCACTGCTTAAATACATAAATTAATTGCCATTTTACCAACTGCGCGACCATAAATAACTAACATAAATAAACAAAAAAGACATTAAGTATCTATTTTTTTTTGCATTGAACAATTCTCATAAAATTTCAAAAAAAAAGTTATAGGATTTATTAAACATGCATTTCCAATATGTTTAATTTATTTTAATACTAACGTGGAATAGTTGTGAACTGTCATCTCTAGGACAAATATCGCTTTCACCGCAAAATGGACTGACTCTAAACTTTTATGAACGTAAAAGGTTTTTATTGGAATAGCCGAATAAACATGAATTAGAATGTGAAAACAAGGAAATATGGAAAATGTGTACAACTAATCATAATCAACAATATACTTTCTTGACACTTCTACATGTATTTGATGATCGGGGGTAACAGCCCTGCTGTTTGTTTGAAATGAATGAAATCAATAACAGCTGGTCATAGATACACACAGAACGACGGAATACATGTAAAAGATTACTTGTGGGTGCATTATCAATGTAAATGAACTGCGTATTGCTACCGAATATAACAATGCCCTTTTAAATGCTTATCTGCGTTGAATACAACGCAAGTATCCTCTTAAATTCCTCGCTGCTTTATGCTAGTAATTGATGGTGTACAACGGCGTGGTGCAGGCCCAAAATAGTGCACAGAACCCCTTCATGTGGTTCAGTTCAAAGATATACTCTATTAGGTGAGTTACAAGTGTTTTTGGCACTTGTGCAGCTCTGCAGCACCTATATATCAGTCGTCTGTTATTCTTATATCGAAAGGAATTTTTGTTAATCTAGCGCTTCACCTTTCATTTATTAAGAAGACAAGACTTGTATGTGGTATCAAAATATATTATTGTTTGTTAACATAATCAACAAAATATAATACTTTCACTTACTGCATTTATAGCGATCAATAATTAAGAACTATATACAATAAATAACATTTACGAAGAATATAAAATTATCTTATCAAATAACAGCCTTAAAGATTGACTTAAATTAAGTAAACAACGGTTGTCACAAATAACAATATTTCAAAAAAGATATAACATTCTACTTAAGAAGTAGATTAAAAGCAAAATTAAAGTTAATGGTAAAGGACTTATTTTTTATAAAGTTAAAACGGTTGTAGAAATGTCGTTTCCATGCCATAAAATTGAAAATACTGAACAAATCGGTAACGAAAGTTAAGTATTTTCTATAAGCACCATGTTGAAGGACTTTTTTCTCTTTTTAACTGTTAATCTGTTCGTAATTATTATTATTGTACGTAGAAATTAATGTCTGATCTGCCAGAAGTCTGTTTGGTTGATCTGATTCAGGACGTGAATCAGATTTTTTTAGGGACAGTTTCTGTTGTTCTTCTTCAGATTTTGATTGTGGAATCCATTCGCACTCTGGATCGGACAATATATTAGACGTATCAGCTGAATCGTCATCAATATTTATATTTTCTAAAATTTAAACGAGTTATTAAAAAATGCGTTACCAATAATCTTACTCTATAATTTAAAAGTTATGATTAAATTATAAAGCAGGAATAGAACTGTTACATTACAAGCTTGACCTTGTTTTTAAAATAATGTAATACCCATACTGGTAAAAGTTGTGCTAGTTTTTATAACTTCTACTGCAATTAAAATTGCTTGCGGTGCGTGATACCGTTTTTTTTCTTTAGGAATAAAAATATGTAATTTTCTTCCACAATAGATATACATAATAGGAAAAATTGCTCTTGGATTAAAACAATAATTAATTTTTAAGATAGAAAAATATTTTAGCTCTTTTATGTTTTCAAAGATAATTGTAACAGTAATATTTGGGAATATAGCAAGCGATTAAATGAATAATTAAAAATCAAACCTTGACTAGAGTAAAGAGGCTCGTCCCAATCATCATCGTCATATTCAAGTTGTTGATTTACTTGTCTTTCTTGAGGTGTTTGGACTGCTGCTGAGTCACTATCAGTTACATCGAATATTTCTGTAACTTTGACCTACAACAAAAAAAATAGATTTTTAGTTTACTTATAAATGTTCAGGTCATTTTATTGTGTTTAAGTTTGTTTCATATCTTCAAGAGCATTTGGATTGACTTTATGTTAATTAGTTTCAATATTGAACCGTACCTTGTTATTCTCGTCCATGTAGTAAAAGGTCATGATGGCCTCATGTTGTGATGTTACCTGAAGAATATGATCAAAGGCATCGTAATTTACAGTGTCCTTAATCGTTATACTCGGTTGTCTCGTTAAAATCTTATTCGTCGTAAATTTTTTGCTCGAATTTTCGTTCAACGGTAAATCGCTATTATAAAAAGAGCAATATTAAAGGAAAAGTAGACTTAAAGAATACAGCAAATGGTTTCATTTTAGAGTAGATACCCACCTTTCGTTAAGATTCACCATGAAATCCAAATTCACTTTGTTACTAGTTTCAAGTTTGTGACAGGCTTCTACATCGTACTTGCCACCATATTCGGTAATATCTAGGTGACATGTAATTTTGGCATTGACATGCTGCTTCTTGTAGAATTTCTTGAGAATAGATGTCAGCTGGTCTATTACAAATTTACTCATATCCCATAAACTGTTACTTATTTGTGGCGTTGTAGACATTATTCTAAAATAGACAGAAAATTCATAAACATTAAAATATGCCTGATAATACATATAAGGTGTATGCAGGTGAACAACGGTATGTTTAAAAGGAAATATTCTGCACTTATGTCACAAATACATATTTAAACAATTCACAATTTTCACTGACAAAAACGTCCACTACATATTCTTAACGTAAGAGTTTTCAGAAAAGCATTTAAGCGTTTGCGAGGCGACAGTTTACGTAAAATCACCTTTTATTATTTGATAGTAAATGCGGACAGCCTTTTTTTAGTAATATATTCCCAAGAACTTTATAGGCTACGGTACGTGTTTCTAGTTCATCCCCAATGATGCTAGTAAAGAATTCTATTATTTTTTTATATTAAATATTTCCAATGCGTTTGATATTTATAAAAATACACTATTTAAATATCGTACATAAACAAATAATTAAGGTAAAATCATGACAATATTTTTCTAAAAAGAAAGAAAAAACTGACAATTTGCCAAAAGAAAAGAGTTTGTACCATGTTATTTAAAATCTTACTTTGTAAATGTAGCATACATAACATCGGCTGGCAATGTGTATGGTAAGCTAAGTATTGACAATAATTTCATTCCCCGGTGCTTAAACACCCAATTAATTAGTCCTTTGTTGGCTGAATCGATCGCTTCCTGAAATACGGTCAGAACTGCTTCCGGCATGTTCGAGACCAGTGCTTCCTGAAAATGAAAATTTATTTGCAAAACATGTTCGTTAAAGTCTTATATAATCTAAAAGGAAATTTATAGCCAGCGTACCTGTTTGTGCTTTGTGCATTCGGTGCATTCAGGGTCGTACTCTAGATTTTCCTCGGGTGTTTCAGAAACAACAAAGGTGGATTGCACAGCTAAACACCGTGCGCAATTAATTAAGTTGTTTTTATGTAAGAATCGGAGAGCATCGTCGAATCCTTGTTTGCACATGTTCGACAACACTTCTAAACTGGGAGGAAATAATATCCTTATCATCCTGTATATGTTATGTCGTGATAGTTCTATGCTTGTATTCGAAAAGTTAATCTGAAATCAAATTAATTAATCCTGAAATATTACGAGTAAAACAAAAGTACATATAATGATCATGAAAGATCCAATATGTTTAATTTATTTTAATACTAACGTGGAATAGTTGTGAACTGTCATCTCTAGGACAAATATCGCTTTCACCGCAAAATGGACTGACTGTAATTGTATTTTCGTCTAATGTAGGTAAATTATCGCTACAGCCGCCATCCATATAGCGGACACCTTTGAATTTGGGGGGAATCAGTCCGGAAAAGAAGGGAATAAATGCTGATGCTAATATAGCTTGTATAAGTTCTTCTTTGCTATCGAACTGGGACACTAGTACGTTTTTTCCGTCATATACTCTAGTAAGTGAAATGTGCAATTTTCCATTAACTCTAAGGTGGGCATCTTCGGGGAGGTGCTGAAAAAAAATAAGGAAAAATTAGAAAAAAGTAACTGACAATAATAAAAAACCAATTCATTTAAATAGTATTTATACATATTAGATTAAAAGTGGGAAAACGTGTTCCTTTTTAATATCGTCATTATCTATTACTAAAATTAAAAAAACCAATATACATTTCGGTTTTCTTTTTTTAAATAGGTCGAAGACAATTTTACAACTAATTCACGATTGTTATATGTTTTAATTCTTATGCTGCCATGCCATAACATGAACAAAATATTTTTATTAAACGTGCTTAAATACAGTGGAATTTAGACTATTTTGAAATTTGAAACTAACAAGTGTTCTGAAATACTTTTTATTTGTTGTTTCTAATAGCATCTAGATTTAGTTTTTGCTTACAATAATAATTTTTGTACCTTCAGATAAGAACCTATTAAATATCGAAATTATCTTAAATAAGGAAATAAAACAGTTTAAAAAAGTTTTAAATATGATTTAGTACATTTAATAATAACAGTAATATTGAGTAAGATAAGTTCATTTAGTTGTTTTCGTTACCCATTTATTATTTGCGCTTTAATCTGTATTTATAATTGTGATAAGTCGGTACATACGATTCTTTGAAGATGACGCCTTTTTTCACACGCATATGAGAAGTTGGTACGAGAAAATATTTACAAACAATTTTTGTATTTATATTTCTGCAAGAAATATGTAGTTCAATAAACAAAATTATAATAACACGAAATGCAAAAGATAACATACGATTCACGCAAAAGCAACAAAAAACAAATCGGACTAGAGATAGAACTTGGTGGTTTCGAAACTTTTTAGACATTTGAGGAATTTGGAATTGCTTCTCACTTAGTTTAGTTCCGTGGAACCTCGTTTGTTGTTTTTATAGTAATAAAAAAAAAAGAAAATTACCTTGTCTAGTCCCTCGTGTAAAATACGCTGGATGTTAAATGTGGGATGAAAGGGTCCCAACGAACCCTTCCTGGCTTCTTGTGCAACCCTTAATATGTGACTTGTTATTCCCCCTGAAAGCAAATAAAAGTACTTATAATAATAATAATAATAACAATAATCATCATAACCAACATCATTATAATCATTAATAAAAAAACGTCGAAACCTGTGGTACATTTTTTTGGTATTTGTTATAAAAATGTGTGACTGGTAATCTGTCAACACAATATACATAAAATTCAAAATAAATACATAACAAATACTTTTATTGATTATTTCAGTGAATAAATATTAATTATAGAAAATTAATTTAATTGGTTTAGTTGTAAGGAACATTTGTGTAAAATTTCAATGTTCTTGAATCAGGGGTTTGGAATTAATCGATATATTAAACATTGAACCCCTATTTCACCCCCTTAGAAAAGTTATTTTTTAAAAACGTTTCTTGGTGCTCGCATCCGTTGTATAATAAACGTATGTGCAAAATTTTAAATTTCTAGGACCAGGGGTTTGAGCTACACGTTGACATATCACTAAGTTTGCTTAAGTTCTTTTGTACATACATATACTTACTTAATTTGTTTCCTTATAAATTGATCATTCATTGAAAATAATAACAAAAAGAAGTATTTTTTTCAATTTACGTCTATTGTGTCTGTGCAACTATCTAAATGATTCTTATTATTTGTTCAATGTGATTAGACGTAATCTTTCGGCAAGTAAATGTTGTTACCGTTTTTTGTTTCTAAAAAATATCCTTTGTCCTGTGATGAGTAATAGTATCAACCAATTTATTGAATTGCTATTTGGGCTTTTCGTCTTTGCTTACGTAGAAAATTTTTAGAAATAAAATGGACGAAAACGTTTTTATAAGCAGCCGTTTGCAAACCAAAACTAATAGAAGTAGCCTTCGACATTAAAAAAAAAGGGAAAGAAAAAATTAAGTAGGTTGATGTAACTAACATTTAATATTGTAATGCATATCGTCACGCTAATTAATAAATATTTCTACTTTATAACTCCATTATAATGGCGGCTATTGCGGTTAATATCTTCAATAGATGAAGACTAAGAAGCTTACTTTTTTTACAGATATTTACAGTTATTTAATAGAATTCTTCATTTATTCTAAACTACAGAATTGACGCTTTTTTTTTTAAATTATCCAATTAATTAAAGAAGCTTGAGCATATAGAAGGTGCATGCATGCATATCAAATTTAAATATTTATTCTTGAGGAGAAGATATTCCACCAGAAATTTCTAGACATACATGAATGTATGTATCTACTTGTATGTTATTACAGACACGTATTATGTTTGCACATACCTGCGTTCGTGATCGTGAAAGCTCCCGTTCAATTGACTTAAGAATGAAAGCTTATTTCTGCGTACTGATTGTTAGTATTTTCCTAGAATTCTTAGCCAGTCTTCATAATTACGAATTTTGTAGCATGAAGTAAATATAGAAATTTGAAACTTGATTCATTTATGTAATTTTAGAGAGAGTAATTTCTGTGAATATCTTGCATACGAGCGAGGTGCTATATTTTGCAAAATCTACTATGTGTGTAAAAACGAACCCCAAAATAGGTTTTTGTATTTTTCAATTTTTGTTTTCGAAATCGTTATACACGATAATACAAATTACGTAATGCTAATTGGGGGAGAGGAAGTCCACATTACGCGAAGGGTGGTAGTTAAAATTGTATTATTATCTATTGTAAATTAAAAAACTTTTTTTGAAGTCCAAAAGTTATTTTATAAAGGCTACACATAAATCATATCACCGTTTAAAAATAAACTTACGATTATATAATTAAGATTAGTTAAGTAATCTGCAAGCGCAAAAAAATCAGCTGATTTAGAAAGTATGTAAATACTTTTTGCATTTTGGTAAATCATGTTTATAAACGTGCAATTAATGCGAGGCCATAATATTGGTTATTTTTTAAACGTGAGTTTATGAAATACAAAAAGACGTAAGCACTTGGGTATTACAAGTAAATTGTTATTTTTGCACTGCTGTGTTTAATACACGATGATCCATGTGATTTTATTTAATTAATTTACATTCTGTGTGTGGACAGCGCCTCAGAGATGCAAAGGCAAAGCATAGTATTTTTCAGTCAGGGGTCATTATCCGGTACCCAGCCGGATTTTAAAAAATGTCTGGATCCGCCACGTAGCGGATCCAAATCGGGTCCACCTGTAATTTATAAATCTGGGTTTGTTCACCATTTCGTGGTCGAACCAATTCATAATTTCAAAAGTAGGACCGTTTTAAGATAGAATTGCAGAAAAACTTAAGTTAAATGGAGGAGTTGTTTTTAATCACGCATAAATTATTGCATTAATTATTACTATAAGGCAGGCTAATAGTTATGTCAGTCAGATTAAGAAGCACTGCACCAGGTTGTGGTGCCGTTCGTTCAACGTGATTACGCTGGACGATCCACGGTATTTCTTCGTGTTTTAATGAGTGAGTAATAGTCATTAGTGTTTTTTAAGAGTAATGGGACTATACAAAAGCAAAAGTTATTACATTACGAAAACAAATGCATCATTCCAAAGTCGAAATTATGTAATTATTAATAATAATAATAATGGTTTATGAGTTAGTATTTTCACGTGATTGAAATTTGTTAATTATACACGAATTTTCCACTACGACAATCAGAGGCTGTTCTTCGAGAAAATATTTTGAACTTAATATTTTTATGTGCGAACGTCACATTTCCTTACACCCCCGCCCCCTCGTCACGCTATGCAATAGCCCTCTCCCCTCTTATTTGGGAACGCATTTTATGAACAATCCCTAAAGGATTTAAACTTAATTTGGAAGACAGCTCAACAAAATATATTACATGTACGAAAATTTAAACATACGATATTTCAGTGAAAGGTGTTAGCAATTACTTTTGATGCAGTGTGATTTTTTCCTGGTTTAATCCAAAGTAGCAGACACATAAAATTTGCCAGGTATAGAAGAAATATGACAAATTAATCATCATAAAGTCGTCAGTCCTAAGACTGGTTGGACACGTACCTCCACTCTTTCCTATCTTGAGCTAATCTTCGCATTTCCCTAAAACTACCACCAGCCAGTAATGCTGGTGGGCGGGCAGTCCCTCCGGACTATGCCGGAAGGTAGGGCGGAAGGCCCTCTTCAGCCTCCTTTCAGGAATCGTGGGAATGGGTGGGTGGTGGTTCGGGTGAGAAAGATGAGACGGACGAAATGAAGACAGAAGAGAATGAAAGATTATCTGCGGAATATTACTGCCTCCGCATTTGCGTAAGTGATCCAAGGAAACCACAGAAAAACTTGGACGAAGGTAGACGGACTCGGAATCGAACCGGCGTCCTCCCGAATGCTAAGCAATGGTTTAAACCTCTAGGCCATGCCGCTCGGTCTAAAACTAGAACAACCCACATCCTTACCTATTTATGAACAGTAATCTAATCTAGGTCTACCTCTACCCCTCCTAACTCCCATTTCTGTCTCTAATATGTCTCTGACTGGACCTTCATGCCTAAGAAGGTGTCCTACCAACCTATCTCACCTATTTCTTATTGACATCCATTGATCTCTCCGTTCTCTTATTCTTTCTAATATCTCTTCATTTCTAACCTTCTCTATTCACGGTATCCTCATCATTCGCCTGTAACACCACCGTCCATGTTTCGCACCCATGTCCAAACATTTTTCGGATTTAACAAATTAGGTATGCATTTATACGTACCCAAAGGTAATCCGCAGAGCAGGCCGCAAGCTGCAATAGCTCCGCATGAAGCACCTGCTATTTTGTGGATTGACAAATGTGGTGCATGAGTCCGGAAACAAACCGCAACACCCACGTGATACAACCCCAAAAATCCGCACCCAGCAAAGGATAAATTCATTGTACTGTGCATGCTATTAGCAATAAAATCGGTTACGAAAAAAAAATATTTGTACTCTTTCTCGTATTACTTTGACGCGAATAACGGTAACACAACAAATTACACATTGCAACTGAATGAAACGAGCGCGATGCGCAATAATATAGCCAGCGAATATGAACATGTGTTTACCGCAGGAATAAATGTTTTTACAAATGATATTAATTGGTAAACAAACGTTAATTTTTACAAAAATTCCGTCGATGCGCTATATTATACATACATGTAAGAAACTAGGTGTGATGTGCGGTTTTATAAACGAAATGCTACACTTGTTTTCATGTAAAGTCAAGGACGCAAAGTATTTTTCCTAAACTATTCTAAAAATACTGATTGCCTTTGTTTTTTCCTGTTGTGGTTACGGTGTATTTTGTCTGGAACCTAGAGGCACAAAAATTATCTAATTGTCACAAAATAAACAATAAAACATTTGATGGATGTATGTTGCATTTGTTTCTAAAATGGCTCAAAGGTCAACTTCTTTTCCGCGCTCTAAAAATGGTACCATTCGAAAAGTCTTTGCCTAGGTTTTCCAAAGTGGTATCAAGCAGAGATGCACCGGATAAAACTACTACAATTTAACTTGTTCTAAAGGGTTTTCTATTAAATATGGTGTCATTATGCGGTACCCGTCCGGATAAACCGGGTACTCGGCCCGGCCCGAACCGGAACATTTACCTACAATACCAGTTATTTTCGTTATGTCTGACTGCTTTTTATTTGTTGATTGTTATTGGACGTAATCTTTCCGTTAATAGATATGGTTACCGTTTTTTCTCCTAAAAAATGCCCTTTGCACTACGATGAGTAAGTCAACAGCTCTTACAGACAAACCGCTACTGACAACAGTAATCAATCAATTTATAGAAATGACATTTGCGTTTTGCGCTTTTAAGCAAGCGATATTACGTATGGACTGTGGATGTTTACTTCGAAAAAATTTTTTTTAAATAAAACGAACAAAGGCCCTGTTACACGTTGTCTTCTATCAAAAGTTATCTAACTAACCTTCGATTTTTATACGAAAAAAAAAGGCGATTGATGTAATAACGGTCGGTATGCAGATGTTTTGTACTATCAGTATACTTAATTACAAGGATCAGTAAACCGAAAACTCATTATTTATGTAGTTAAAAATTTATTAGGTTCAAAAAGTGCTACTTTGACATAAAGCGAATTCAGAAACAATTCTTAGGGTTCTTGGGGAAAGGGGTACTAACTTTTTACTAAAATTTAGAAGTGATGTTATTTGAAATAACTTTTTTTATGTTTAAGTTAATTTTTCTCACACATCTTTCACATTGACAGTACTAAAGCAGTCTATGTAAAGGGGAGGGGGGGAATTCCCTAATTTATGTCTGGATCCGCATCCGCCACTGCTTAAATACATAAATTAATTGCCATTTTACCAACTGCGCGACCATAAATAACTAACATAAATAAACAAAAAAGACATTAAGTATCTATTTTTTTTTGCATTGAACAATTCTCATAAAATTTCAAAAAAAAAGTTATAGGATTTATTAAACATGCATTTACGTTGTGTCTTTTATTGTCATTTTTGACCTTTGCTATATTCCATAGCGTGTAATTTTGTTGTTGAGTCCAAAGTTTATTACGAAAACCTTTAGATTCAAGTCATTAACGATTTAATGCATTGTAAGGTATGTATTATCGAAAATGTCTAAAGTTAAACTGATTAGTTTAAGATATACAGATATGCTTTGTTCTTTTATCAGTAGTACTGAAATTAAGATATATTTCGTTTGTGTTTTATTATGAGAATTTTGCACTATGACGAAGTACCTATTTTATATGGTAAATGACACTATTTTATAAATTCGAAAAAGGTTGTTAAAGGTGTATGTTTGGAGCACGGCGTTGTACGGGTGCGAAACATGGACAGTGGGAGCGGCGGAAAAGAAAAGGTTAGAAGCGTTCGAAATGTGGTGTTATAGGCGGATGATGAGGATATCGTGGGTAGAAAAGGTTAGAAATGAAGAGGTATTGGAAAGAATAGGAGAACAGAGGACTCTATGGAAGTCAATAAAAAATAGGCGAGATAGGTTGGTAGGACACCTTCTCAGGCATGAAGGTCTAGTCAGAGACATATTAGAGGCAGAAACAGGAGTTAGGAGGGGTAGAGGTAGACCTAGATTAGATTACTCTTCGCAAATAGTTAAGGATGTGGGCTGTTCTAGTTTTAGGGAAATGCGAAGTTTAACTCAGGATAGGAAAGTGGAGGTACGTGTCCAACCAGTCTTAGGACTGATGACCTTATGATGATGATGATGACACTTTTTTGTGTTTAACTGACGAACATATGTATTGATGTAGCCTTTGAGTGCTGCTGGCGTATTAAGTTTCGCTAAATGAATGTGTAAATATTATGTAGTACATGCTGACAATAATTTTAATTTCGACAAAAACAATAAAAAATTTGAATTGCTAATATTTACTCATATGCATGTATTTCGTATGTTGTGTACTTGTTCTTTGGATATTGTGAACTGACCTTAACAGTTTAACAGCATGACCTTAAAACTTTACGAGAGTTCTATGACCTCTTACCGATTGTCGTGAAGCAATGACTGACATTTTCTTTTCTTTTTTGTTAATATTTAAATATTTGCATTTTTTAAGTTGATAAATATATATATATATACATATTGAATTTCACATTATATACTTAAATATTTAAGTACAAAACTACAGAATTAACATGCTCACTGTTTACTTTTAAAAATATTTTTATTTTGTATTTATTCTTGGGGGACTGTTATCGACCTGTCAGAAATTTCTAGACATCAACTTTGTTTGCCTGCGAAATGTGTTTTCGTAATCAAGTTAATCGGGAAAATCAGAATAGGATCTAATCTTGCCGATTATTAATAAAGAAAACTTTGGTTATTTTACGTAATTATTATGTATTTTGTATGTATGTATTATGTTATTATTGTCCTATCCAGTAAATTTAAATCAAATTTTTTACAGAATAAGGAAGAGCAGAATAGAAAATATTTTTAATTTTTTGAATTTTACGTTTTTAAGATCAATAATTATCAAAGTTATATTACGTATAGGTTTGTTGGATTAAACTAAAGGCATTAAATGTGTTTTCGGTACAACATATTTTTTTAACTGTTAAAAAAGTTTTTACCTAGGGGTAGATCACATAGGAGACAACAAGCTGCCATGGCACCAGCTGAAGCTCCAGACACTTTGTTTAATAACAATTGGGGTGCATATTTTTTAAAACTAGCGGCCACCCCAATGTGATATATCCCCAAAAAGCCACATCCCGCAAATGAAAGATTCATTTTTTTTTTTTGATACCGCTTTCTAGTTCTAGCTATTTAAATATTTAAATAATCGTCACTGAACCTTCTTAACTGCAATATGTATGCAAACTACGTATTAGCAATTTCGATTTTGTACGCGATTTATTTGTTCAATACATCGGACTGTCTTGTATTGATAATTAGCTGAGTATTAATAGGTCTTCAACGCAGGGTCATCGACGTCAGAGACTAACTGAAGACCTATTGGTCAGTTAGAAATCACGCATACATATAGAAATTTGAGCATGGACTAGCAATTTGTTATTATCATAAATGTATGATTACAAAGCATGTATGTATATAGGCTTTAATCTTATCCCGATATTTTTTTTAATAAAGAAATAAATTAATATTCCATATACGCATTTAATACGAATATTTGTATCATTATCTATTTAGGAAATTGAGAGAAAGGGTAGCCTTGTTTAAAGTGGTTAAAGTCCTTGAAGCCCTAATTACATTTTAAAATCCAACAACTTCGAAAAGCAACTACATATGTACATCCCGAGATACCTAAATTAATTTGCCAAGCTTCAACTACTTCTTCATGAAAGTGTATGCTTCTAAGTCTTCAAAAGACTGTAAGCACATTTTTAAGCACAAAGAACTAAAGGTCTGCTAACAACTTTTTGAATATTTCATATGGAAGTAGATGTACACTGGGAACGTATTAGGTAAGGGGAATTCCATAACTAGATGGTTCTGTAAGGAGGAGGCAAAGTAATAGAAGACTATTCTAGCCACATGCGGGCAGGGGATTGAATATCTGCGCAACATGGTTTTTTATTGTTAAAAAAATGAAGATTTTTGTGTGGCTAAAAAGATCAAGTCCAAGTTTAATCGATACCACTCGGACGTCTCGGTGTAGGTATCGATTAAACTTGAACTTGATGCCCAATATTTTGTGGTTAGAGTGCCATAGTAGCATGGGTTTTTAAACAATCCTTGCAATTTTTATAATTATAATCATGGTTTGTCTGCTTTTCAGTTTTATCTATTTTTATTAAGTTCATTATATCCTTGTCCGTGAACAGAAATAGAACAGTGCATAGATTACTCTATTTCTGCATTGCGATACCTAGAATCACTATAATAGTAATGTGTTATTGTCCTAGCGTAAGTGTATCACAATTTGTACGACTATCGTCGCTGTACTGCTCTATTAAAACGTCTAATTAAGGGATGAACTATGCTTTAGGGCGTATATTTTGAACGGGTTATACTAGTATAGTCACATATAGGTATCCCAATGAGATAAAAAAAATTATCGTTAGATTAGATACTGTTAAAAAATTTGTAAGTTGATGCACTTTTTTGCTTTACATAAATTATGCTTATAAATACAGTATGTAATTAGTGCGAGGCCATAAATTAGTTATGTATTTAATGAACGTGACTTTATGAAGTACAAAAAGATCCTACAAGTATTTATATTTAAGCAATTTTATATTAGTATGTTCAAAACACGATACCCCAAACGCTTTAATTGACTTAATTACATTCTGGAATTTTCTATTAGTAAATTGGTATGCCGCTAATAAAACTATATTAGGCGAACAAGATGCTGCTTTTTCTA